CCCTCTGGCCACCGCTCCTTGTCCTTCTTTAACCTGAGAAGTCTGTTGTGTATTCATTGCTTCTGCTTATTTAAAATCCAGGCCACCCCTTGGGTAAAATTTTGGGCCCCATACCTTTTCCAGTATAACACAACAGAACACCCTTTCCTCTCCTCCTGAAATAATCTGTAGTAGGGCATGTGAGGAGGACAGTAAGGGAGGTAAAGAAGAGCCATATTAATCCGGGTCCTTAATGGCAAATGTCATAACAGGCAATGGGAAATTGTATGGCTTAACACAGCAAAGACTTATTTCCCCTTCACGCAAAGTCTAATGAAAATTGGGGGGTCCTTTAGTCCACATGTTATTGGCCAGAGCTACTCACATGCTCGACCCTGCTACAAGGACTGGGACATGAGAAGCACATGGGTGTTTTAAATTCTTTATTTTTCATGCTTTTCCCTTTCAGTTACAGTTTACATTCAGCATTCTTCTGTATTGATTTCAGATGTACAGCATAGTGGTTAGAAAATCATGGACTTTACAGACTGGTTCCCCCACCGTTCAAAGTACCCAGCTGGCCCCACACATAGTTATTACAATGTTATTGACTATATTCTGTATGCTGTAATCTACATCTCGGTGACTGTTCTGTAACCACCAATTTGTACTCCTCAATCCTTTCACCTTTTTTGACCCAGACCCCCAACCCTCCAACCCCCAACTTCCCTCCCCAGCTAGTGGCTAGGATTTGGCACATGTGTATTTTGCAAGCACTCAAGTTTCTGCCACAAGGGGGCAGGGTTTTCTCATTTAATTATTTCATGCCCATAAAATGTAAGTTGAATATACATGTTTTGAATATATATATATATATACACACACACACCCCATATATTTTAACATTGTATTTATTTTATGATACACACACACATACACACACACACATTTAGAGTTTTGTATCTCTTTTTCCCTTATCATTATCATCGTCATCATCACCATCAGCGGCAGAAGTATCAGTATCAGCAGCATCATCATAGTGATGATTTATTCCATTCTTAATATAGACCAGTCTTTAGACTTCAGCCCTTTAGATGTATTTGTTTCTTCTATTGTCAAATGCTGTGAGGTAGATACTACCATTGTCTATGATACAAGTCAAAACACTGAGGTTCAAACAGGTGAAGTAACTTGTTTCTGACTCCCAGCTGTACTCTTAGCCACTAAAACAATGGCCTGTGTATTAGTTTCTCAGGGCTGCCAAAGCAAATTATTGGAAACGGGCTGGCTCAAAACAACAGAGATTAGTACTCTCACAGGTCAAGAGGTCAGAAGTTCAAAGTCAAGGCATTAATTCTTCTGGGGGCTCTGAGGGAGAGTCTGGTCCACACCCCTCTCCTAGTTTCTGATGGCTTCCAGCAATCCTTGGCTTGTAGGCACATCACTCCAATCTCTGCCTCCATCTACATTGGCTGCTTCTCCAAGGCCCTGCATGTCTCTCCATTCTTTTTCTTTATCAGGTCACCAGACATTGGATGTAGGCGCCAACCTAAGCCAGTATGAGCTCACTTGCTCTTTACCTTGATTGCATTTCTACAGCCTCTATTTCCAAATAAGGTCATATTTTGAGGTTCCGGTAGACATGAATTTTGGGAAGACACTATTCAACTGAGTACAGTTTCTATTTATTTATCCAAAGAACTCGCATGTTATTACACATCTTCATGAACACTACCTTTGAGTGGATGTACAATATTCTCTTTTGCTATCGGTGGACATTTAGGTTGGAGAGGATGACAGCTAGCACATGGGACCTCGGTGCAAATCACACACAGCACTCCCTTTCCTGGGCTGGCGGAGGTGCCTAGGGCAGTGAGCAGAGCAGGGGACGAATTTTAGCTTCCACTTACCTATGCTGTCATGTGGGACACCTTTCTGCACGTGGGACATGGTGGCCCTGGTCTGGAAGATGAAACCTAGGGTGGGTTTGTTACTACTTTAGAATATTTAAGAATTTGCATTTGGCTTTTTTCTTTTTCTGTTTCAGAGTAGGATGCACACCCTGTTTGAATTGAAAGACACCCTAGAAATCTTTTGCTTCAAATGCCTGAAACATAGGAGCAGAAAATAATGATAATATCCTATATTGATTTGCTGTTTATTGATTCACCAAGCAGAGTTGAAATGTAATATTTTTCAGTCTCAAGAAGCAGAGATCCAGAAATTTTAACTAACTTTGCTATAAACTAGGATAAAATCTCAACCCTCTTGTCTTTGTGCAGCACCTTGATTGTATCAGGCTGACTCAAGCTGAGCCCTGCTTCCTCTTGCACATCCCAGCTCTGCCATAATCATCACTTTCAGATGTTTATTAATGGGGACATATTCATCCTTTTATGTCTGTAATCTAATTCCTTTTGAAGCCACCTAAACCTTTCTACCTCTCTTTTGAACTTGGCTTTGATGAATATATTTCTGACCAGATAAAATAAGCTGTGAGTATAGCCTCCTTGACTTAAAATGACCATCTTTGATCATATCTTTATACGTATTCATCTATCACCATAGTACGTTGGTTGCTATGACAAGCCTAATGTTTTAATAGCACATATTTCAAAGGGCAGAGGAGGAAAAACACAGCATCTTCCTATTCTGAAATTTAAATAACTTTTTTGAATACTTTTTTTTTTTTCATAGGGAAAAAGTTCAATTAATTTTGTAAGGCCTGAAATAAATGAAAATAATTCAAAGAAATGAGTAAGAAATTAAGTTTGTGGTCTAGTTGGTAGACTAAAATTCTTAGCAATTGCTTCTTTTTACTGACCCAATTATTCTATTGTACTTTATTATTATTATTTTAAATATTGTTGACAGTGTTACAGATGTCCCCCAGTTCCCTCCCATTTTTGCCCTCTCCACAGATACTATTGTAGTTTCTTGATGGTATAGAACACAGCTGATTCCTCTCTATGTTCCTTGGGGTTTAATGCAATGCCAACTATACCCTTGGCTACTAATATGTTCGTGGAGATTGACTGAATGGTGGCACAACCACCATCTTTCTCTGCCCTTCTGCATTCTGCTCTGGCCACCGTGACTGTTCATTATCCGGACACACTGTACCTCGTCCCATCTGCTTGCCTTTGCAATGAATGACTTTTCTCCAGTGATCCCCTTGCCAGGTTTCTACTTATCTTTTAAGATCCAGCTCAAATGTCATATCCACCGTGAAGCATTTCTTAAGGGCAAGATGATACCTCATTCATCTCTCTGTCCCCAGCATCTGGTAGAGTCGAAGTTGTGAAATGTGTATTGAATGAGAAAGTGAATGAACAGAGAGACAGAGCCAGTATCCCATAGCAGATAAAAACATGGGTTTTATGGTCTGACAAATCTGGATTCATAGTCCTGCTTCTTGACTTATACCTGTCAGGGTCTAAAACCCAGCCTATGTTCAGTTTCCCCTGATTTAATCTATAAAGACTTTCACAGTTATTTTGTTTGAATCAGAATCCAAGCACCATTCACAGACTGTTTGTTGGCTACGTGTCCTAAGTCTGTTCATTTGTAACATTTCCCCTCCTTTGTTTCCAGGCTGTTTATTTCTGTAAGAATTTTTAAAGAGATAAATATTTCACAAAAACAGGATTCGAGGTTTCTCTTGAAAAACAAACAATCAAACAAACAAACAAACACACCCAGGAAGGCCTGGCCACCCTGGCTCACACTCCCTGATGGCAGCATTGGGCTGCAGCATAGTAGAGGTGGCAGCCTTTAGCCCATGTAAGTGCTCGGAGATCCCACAGTCCCCACCGGTCCCTATTGCACCAGCCAGCTTAGCTCATGTATGTTGCCTACCCAACCCCTGTGGGTATAGTGCTGGCCACCTCTGACCTATATCTACCTCTGTTGGGCAATTAGAACTGGATCCTGAGTGATGACCTTAGAGTGCAAAAACATCCCCAGTCATTATGTAAATATTCAATTTTGTGCACTGTATCACTTAGGTAGGAATGTCAGTGAAAATGTTTTAAAGGTTTTCAGCGAAGAATTAAATCCACAAAAGACTTTTAAAAAAAATCCCAAATTAGCCTAGGACTTTATGAATTGGCCTGTCTCTTTTCTTGATCTGCTTTACAGCCTTTCATTCTGTAAATATCTTGTTCACCTGTGTGGAGGTTCGATCTACAAAGGTCACTGGACAAGGTGTCACAAGACCTAAACTGGAGCGTTGGTCCACTCTGACAGGTGGGCCACCGTTTCGCTTCTCTGAGACACCTTGCAGAGTGGAGGTATCAACAGCCTACCCCCCAGGGTTGTTGTGAAGTTCAAATAAAGTAACAGATGCGACATTGATTTGTAAACTGTGTAGCTCTGCACTTAAGCTATTACTGTGCATAAGGCAGTGCTGAATTATGCATAGCATCCTCTTTCACACCTCCACGCAGTTAATCTGCTGCTCTCTCTCCCTGCATTGCCCTTAAGAAGTAATTGCTAGTCATCTGTGGTCCCCAAACACTTTATAACCTTTGTCACACTGTATCAAAGCCATTTGTTCACATCTTTGTCTTCTCCAAGATTCTGAAAGTAAGCTGCAGTTTGTTCCGTGCTTGGCACACAGCAGACTCTCAGTAAGTGTCTACTGAATGAGATGGGATTGATTCGAATCATTATTATGTGTGTGCCTGTCTTGAAGCACAAAGTCTGTGTCTATACAGTTCTTTAGGTATGTCATTTGATAACCGATCAGCCTTGGCTCTTGTTAAAAGCTAGTGGTGAAGATGATGATGATGAAATAGTCATAAAAATAGTTCTGTATTTTTAATGTAAGTATGTGATCAGACTTCTTGAGTATATTGTTAGTAATTTATACTAATTGGCAGTGAAAGGACCTACATGTGGAATGCCTGTCATTAAATTTTTGTTTTCCTGCCGCGGGGGAAAGAGAAGCTCCCGGTCATCATTTCTGGTTCCAGTTATTGATTCTCCTGGTTAACGTAGGGCTTCTCGCTCTGTTACAGCTGGTTTGCCATCCACCCGGTCAGCATGAACAACAGCAATCATCTTGTAAATAGTGACAATATGGGCTATGCAGCTTACCTTTTTGAGCAAGAGAAGAACAAAGGACATTTACCGGGACAGGTGAGAATTTGTGTCATTGAAACCTTCATCTTAATTCATTGAGTATTATCATTCATGCAGAATAGCGGATTCAGATTTTCAGAGGAAAGTGTCATTATGGACATCACATGCTGATATACTTGGATAAAAAGAATTTTCCATCTTACCTGGTAGGAAAAGAAAAATTCAAAGGGACCAATACACTTTTGGTCAAATACTACTTACACCGATGGCTTCATAACGCTATCGTTAGTTGGGTAAAGGAGGGCAAGTGTGAGGTTTTTGCAACATGTAATAGCTTTTTATCACCTTGGAACTATGATAAACTCTATTGATGTTTACTTTTGTTTTCAGAGTTATAAAAAGTATTAAACATCTTCTTACTGGTGTAAGAACCTAATGCGAACAGGTGACGAGCTCTTTCATTGGTCCAGACTTCCCTCTTCATGGTGAATTTCCTTTCCAGGACTTTGTTCTACTTTCTTATAATAAGGCCGGAGACAGCCCTAATCCATCAGACTTGTAACTTGGAAATGCAGTGAGTGACAGGATCAGAGATGGGGGCCAGGACCCAGTCCATGTACTTCAGGAAGCTGCTCAGATCTGTGTAAAATAAAGGCTACAGACGGATGAGTGGGAGCAGGGACCCTGCTTTGGGTCACAGAATCTAAACCCTGAATGCAGAAGAACGGACGATGGGATGAGAGCCGCAGGCCCTTGACTAGAAAATGCTCTGTTATAAAGATATTGACCCCGTGGTCATTTGGTCTGATCTTTTTGCTCCTTTGTTGATAAAGCGGTATCTTCTCATCTTAGCCTGTGTTTTAGGGAAATGAAAGGAGGTTCTCACTTATGATCATTGGCTAGGTGCTAGGCACTGTGAAATAAATTATATTTTAGCATCATGACCTCTGATGCTTAATCTCTTTTTCCAAGAAAAGGTAAGACATTTAAGATTGAATGATATAAACAAACAAAATAGAAACAGACTCATAGATACAGAGACCAGACTGACAAATGTCAGAAAGAGAGGGGAGGTGATTAGGAGGCTGGTTGAAAAAAGTGAAGGGATTAAGCAAAAAACAAAACAAAACACCCCAACTCATAGACATAGACAACAGTATGATTATAAGAGGGAAAGGGGTGGGGGTTGGTAAGAGAGGGTAAAGGGTGACAGAAAGAGACTTGATTTGCATAGTGAACACAGAATACAATATATAGATGATGCATCACAGAATTGTACATTGGAAATCTATATAATTTTATTAGCTAATGTTACCCCAATAAATGCAATAAGATTTTTTTTTTTAAAAGTCACTTGCAATAGTTTCAACTAAAAAGGATGGAATGGTAGACCAATAGGTTGAGGTTATTACCTTGCACCATTCCTAAAAGGTTATGTGTTGTTATTTCAGTTTGAAGAGGTAAAGAAAAGATGCGCAGAAGCACAAGTCTGGATGGTAGATGCTATAGTTAGGTTCAGTTTTGCAATGGGAAAATCTGGATTGGCTCTTCTCTTTTTAAGCCAATAGAATATTTATTTTTAAAGGAAAAATGCATCTTAGATCTCTAGGTACAAATCCAGAGACAAGATTATAATTTGTCTCTGTAATTTTTGGTTGCATGCCGTGTTTGTTTGAGGCACAAATTTGAAAACTTCCTGCTTAAAACAACTCCACTGATGATCAGAATATCATGAGTAATAACATGTACACTAACTGCACTGTGAGCCTTTTCAGGACTAAAACATTTTTTCAGAATATTACACATCCTTCTTGTTATTGTGTGCAAATGATTTTGGATAGTTCACCATAGTGGATTGAATGTTTACTTTTTTAATGGAACTCATGGGAAAAAAAGAATAAAAGGTGATTAGCTGTTTCTTTTGGCAGGGACCATTTGTAGCTGCGTTTGCTTCATCAAACCTAGGAGACGTGTCCTCCAACATTCTCGGCCCACGTTGCATCAACACGGGAGAGTCCTGTGATAATGCCAACAGCACTTGTCCCATTGGTGGGGTAGGTCCTTATGACAGGAAATCTTTGTTTTTGCATCTCATGAATTCATTATTAATTTACAAATATGTTTTCCTCAAGTCTTCGCTGGCCTATTCACCTCTATCATCTGCTCTTCTCAAAAGCACTCAATGCATTTCAATTAGATACAATTACAATTTTTTTATATAATTGGGCAGTTTTTTTGAATGGTGAGACAATTTAGTAATGTCAGAGATTAAATATCCTTCCCCAAACTTGGAGAGCCTGAAACATTTGCTTTGGTGTTTTTGCAGTGACTAGTTAGTACCCCAAACTGCCTGCCTAAGACATTTCTCACTGATTATGAAGTCTATAGATTTAAAAAAAATAATAATATAATTTTTTTTCTGTTAAATTGCAAAAATCTTTCTGTCAAAACTCAAACAACATGAAAGCACAGAGGAGTGAAAAGCGGAAGTCCCTGTTCACCTCTCTCCTGGGCACCTCTCATCTTTCCAGAAGTTACCTATGTAATGTCTTCCTGCCTATGCAGCCATGAAAAACATGTTATCACTTATTTATTGACTTTTTTATTGGTCCAGGATTTTAGTTTTCCACTCAATTTGTCTTAAAAATCTTGTTTATGACTGTATATAGGTCTGTATGCTAAGTTTCAAAGATACATGAGGCTGTACCATCATTTATTTAACTGCTACTCCCCCTCCCTCAAGCTCATTTAGATTTTTCAGCAGCAGCAGACGCTCATTTCTGACTTCTTATTCTTTGTGGTTAAAGAACATTTTACCTGTGACATTGCTTTTATTAAACACCATTTCTGGGCTACTTATGTTATTCCAGTCAACCTCACTCAATGAGCAATATGGTTTTAACAATTGTACTCTTCTGTTACATGTTACTATTTCAAATTTTTTTTTACCCTTTATTTGCAAAATGTTTGCATGTTATGAATTCTCAGTAGATTCAATGACTACTTATTAAATTCCAAAATTCATAGGTGAAATGGCTGAAAAATTATTATACTTATTTGCAATAGCATATCATGCATCAACTTAATGTCTTCTGTTGAAATACTTAGGGAAAAACTCATGAGACATAATGCTGACGGAGAAATTAGGATTTAATATTGCATATGCATTGTGACTACAGTTTGGAAAATCAACGTGTCACAGTTAAAAGACAAAGTGAAACACACTGAAGTGTCAACTATGGTTTTCTCTTTTTGGTACTATTATACATAGATTTTATTCTAGTTATTTTTTATTTATTATTTTTTTCTATTTATAGATTTTGCTATTTTCTACAATGAGTATAGTTTACTTTATCATCAGAAAAAAAATGACAACAAACTCATATCCCCTCCCACAAGAGAATTCTGTGTCTCTCTGCTCCCTCCATGGACCGGCTCCCCTCACATTGCAGGACGGCGGGTCGCAGTCCGGAAGGTGTCTGTTCCCTCCCACCCACAGGAAGTAGGAAAGAGAAAGCCTCCTCCAACCATGGAATAAAAGTTCTCTCCTGCCCTGGCCAGTTTGGCTCAGCGGTTAGAGCGTCGGCCTGCCGTCCAGAGAGACCCGGGTTCGGTTCCGCTAAGGGCATGTACCTCGGTTGCAGTTTGTCCCCGGCCCTGGTTGGGTCTTGTGGGTCTGTCCCTTTCATGTCGATGTTTCTCTCTCTGTCTCTCTCTCCCTCTCACTCTAACTGAACAACAACAACAACAACAACAACAAAAAGGAAAAAAATGTCCTCAGGTGAGGATTTAAAAAAAAAAAAAAGTTTTCTCCTATCTGATTGGGTCGGTTCCTGTCACGTGCCCCTCCCTGGGGGCGTGGCGTGTGCTGGCTGGCTCAGGTGGGGGTCCCTGGCCAATCTTCAGCAAAGCCGAGGGCATCGCTGTGATGGCCGCGGACGTGTCTGGGATCACTGACCACGAGGACGGAGAAGGCCGTCCGACAAGCCAGGATTCCCGTAAGAAAGACTGAGAGGGCAGTGTGGCCAGTGGTGCCCCGTCTCCCGCTTTAGTGTGGTTTCTTTAAAAAAAAAAAAAAAAGTTTTAAGTTTAGAAAATAGCTTTAATATATTTTTAGGAAAAGATACATGCTTGTTACAAATTCAGACACTATGGACAAGTTCAGAAAATAACACTATGTTATGGAGCAGTCCCCCCACCCCACAAATCAGCCTGGTAAATTTGAATGAACTTCCTTCCAGATCTACTATGCATCCGTGCATATATATTCATGTAAACTTGTACCTAAGCGGGGTCACTCTGTGCTGTCAGCCTACCTGTTTCTTATTTCCATTCAGTATACTTTAAACATCATTTAAAACCGCTCCGTGATTTTCCATTTTCAGTAACATAGTGCACCCCTCCCCCGAGGGATGAGCATTTTCTTTCCCGCCTCCTTTCTTCCTCACGGCCTTTTCCCCCTTTCTTCATATCAGCATGTGACGGTCACCGGTCACGCTGCCTGTCATACATATTTTCGCGAGTAGTTTTACCTTAGGCCACGTTCTTGAAAGTCAGTTTGCTGTCAAAGGGAAAGGACCTCTGACATACACTGCAGGTTGCCCAACGCTGTCAAGCAGGGTTCCACCCGGTGGCGAGGGACGGTCCGGTCGCTCAACACCAGGGGGCAGTCTTTCAGAGGCAGAGTTCCCTTTGCAGCTTCAACTTAGATTTAATTATTCATGAGCTTGAACGTATTTTGTTAATGTTCAATGGCTACTTACATTTCTTTTTGTGAATTGTCTATATTTCATTGTGTATCCGTTATGGTGATTTTCTTTTTTAATCCTCACCCGAGAATATTTTTCCATTTATCTTCAGATAGAGAGGGAGGGAGGGGGGGGGGGGAGAGAAGGAAGAAAGGAAGGAAGGAAGGAAGGAAGGAAGGAAGGAAGGGAGGGAGGGAGGGAGGGAGGAAGGAAGGAAGGAAGGAAGGAAGGAGGAAGGAAGGAAGGAAGGAAGGAAGGAAGGAAGGAAGAAAGGAAGGAAGGAAGAAAGAAAGAAAGAAAGAAAGAAAGAAGGAAGAAAGAAACATCGATGTGAAAGAGACACACCGACTGATTGCCTCCCGCATGACCCCAACCAGGGTCGGGGACGACCAGCAACCAAGGTACCTTGACCGAATGGAAGCCATGACTCATTGGTCCTTGGGCCAACGCTCTAACCGCTGAGCAAAGTGGCCAGAGCATGTGATTTTTTTTTTAACTTTTATTTTTTCCAGCTTTATTGAGATATAATTGACATATGACATTGTGTAATTTTAAGGTGTACAATGCAATGGTTTTGATATACTTATAGGATGCTTTCTACTGCAAATAAGAGATAATCTAACTCAACATGGATAAATCAAAAGGTATTAATAAAGATATTGTTTCTTAGTGACTTTTTAAAGTTCCTAATATCTTAAAGTTTGTCATAAATCATGCAATACCTCCCCTCCCCCATTTGTCAGCTGTCTTTCAGCCTTACTTATGTTCTGGTTTTCCCCATATGAATATTTAAAGGATTTAAGTTGTCAGATTTATTAAGCCTGTTCTATATAATTTTAGAAGGGTCTGTCACACTCTTAAGACTTTAGAATATATTCACTCATTTTTTACATGCTTTATAATTTCATTTATGATATTTAAATATCTGATTAAGCTCATATTTTTCTGATGTAAGAAATAAAGTGTAGAGTCAGATTCATTGACTGGTTTTGTTCTGAGGGTCAGCTAGTTGTTCCAGTGTAATTTTAACGGAGTTTCAATTTAAGGTGACCATGGGCAAGAGCCACAGGCAAGAAGGAGCAAGTAGAGATATCCAGCAAATGCAGGGACGTGGCTTTACGTCTTAGCTACCTGTATAATCTCAGCACACACTCTAACACACCTGAGCCTCGTTTCCCTTATTTTTAAAAGGAAGGTGCCAGAACAGGTGATTTCTAAAGATATTTGCCTCTCCAATTCAGTGGATGATTTTGTTTTTCCTAATCTGTAAATTGAGAAAATATCTGAAAAGAAATGCTAGAATGTGCCTTGAAAAAATATTTGCTTAGATTCACTTGTCATTTTCCATTTCTTAGAAGAGTTGCTCTTTTCACTAAGAACATCTCTTGTCTCCCTTTGCTGCAGTCCACCATGTGCGTTGCTAGGGGACCTGGACAGGATATGCTCGACAGCACACAGATCATAGGACGGACCCTGTATCAGGGAGCTAAGGTAAGCCACGCACCCAGCTCCTTGCATCTTCATTTAAAATTGTTCTGGAAAACCTGCTGACATCGTTCATTAGGAAGTCGGTAACCATAAGGAAGACAAGAGCCCCAGCTGCCCCGAGCAGTCTGAAGGCTGAGCACTGTCCGCGGCAGTCAGGGAGGTCACTTCACAAGCCACACAGCGGTCTCTCTGACTGCTTGGCCCACAGGAAGGGCATTTATTTTATTTTCTTGTTAATCCATACCCGAGGATATTTTTTCTATTGCTTTTAGGAGAGAGTGGGAGGAGGAGGAGGAGGAGGAGAGAGAGAGAGAGAGAGAGAGAGAAAGAGAGAAGAGATTGATATGAGAGAGATACACTGATTGGTTGCCTCCCACATAACTGACCAGTGCTGGGGATTGAACCTGCAACCCAGGTACATGCCCTTAAACCCATGACCCTTCAGTGCTCAGGCCAACACTAACCACTGAGCACACCAGCCAGGGCAACAGGAAGTACATTTAAAAGCAGGTGCTCAGGAAGACAATTTACTCCAGGCAGAGTGCTTGCTTCGGACAGTGGGATGATAGATTGTAAAGTTTCCATTTTAACATGGTATGCGTGACCGCACTGTTACAAAACCTCGGAAATCTCTCAGGGCCTTGCCTGCCGATCACCTAGCCGCTTCTACACTTCTCCTTGGGGGACAGAGCAGAGCTGAGCGGCAAGCCATAGCTCTCACAGTTTGGGTTCAAACTAGTTGCAATCTTCTTTGATGTGGCAACAACGATCATGCATCTTTTCTTTCCTTCGTGTTTATTTTTTTGAGAGAAGATGGTCTCCAGTGAAATGACTATGATTTACTCTACCCTCCTCCACCTCCTCAATTTTATCTTTCACGTTGTCCCATATTATGGGTCAGCTTCTATGGAGACATACTTGTGATGGAAAAGACAAAGGATGAGCTGGAGAGCTGAGATATCTCTGACAAAGACAGTTAAATCTCTTCCTTTTTATAGCTTATACGTTTGTGGTGCACGTGTGTGTGTGTGTGTGTGTGTGTGCATGGGTGTGTAAGAAGATATTTTGTTCTAAGGGTTCTAAATGTTTCAGCAGCAATTAAGGAAGATCAAAAGCCCTTTAAAAACATCAGACACTAACCAGCCCTAATTGCTGCAGTTTCTTTTTAATTACTGGGGTATTAGCATGGATTGCTCTAAATTAACAGATTCTATTTGGGGAGTGCGCCCGTGACACAGTTTGGTGTCAGAAATTGTGTTACCTTGCTAGGCGGGAGCCGCAGAGATTTGACCCACATCCTGCCTTCTCTTCTCCACAAGGCACAGCTCCCCTCCTATCCGGGGAGCCTGCAGCCGCGGGTGCCCCTTGTCTGGAGAGCTCCCAGCTGAAACTGGGTGGGGATGGCACGGAAATGAGCTGGGTCTCGGGGCAAAAAACCTTGTGCTGAGGCCGGACTCGCCGGTATTGTATGGCACAAGTCAATAAGAAACATTTCTAAATGTATTTGACTCATATTCCCCATAAAATTGAAAAAGCATCAGTTGACCACACTGGGGAAAAAAAGATGATCAAAGTGTGGGTGGGGCGGTAGGGGAGCTTATGCAGATTAAGGGGCCTGCAGTCTTTCAAGCCCCACTTTGGCATCTTTTCAAGCCAGCCCTGCCGGAGGACTGGAGGCTTCCCAGAATGCTGCAGGATATGCTCTCATTCCGGCAGAGAACGTACTTTGGCTCTCCTACTTCTAATCCTCCATTTTTTTGACTGTCTTTCAAGTGAGGTTGGGGCCTTTTGTGTCACATCCTGTGTCCCTACTGTTTCATGTGGGGAAAAGACACAGGTCAACCACCCCAGGGCCTTCAGTCTTCAGGGAAGCAACAGGTTGCTAGACAGATCCACAGGGGTAGTGGCTATGGCTAAGCCGCCAACAAAACCAAACTCGATTGAGAGATCTGTTCCCAAATTGGTACCTACTGGGTCCCGCGGCAGGATTCATTTGAGCTTTTTGCTTGTAACAGCTAGCCTCTGTGGATTTTCTAGGTGCTGTATGCCTTAGCTTCCCAGGAGGTGACTGGACCACTGGCCTCTGCTCATCAGTGGGTGAATATGACGAACGTGACCGTCTCGCTCAATTCCACACACACGGTAAGTGTCGCTGAGTCACACTGAGTGTGCCTCAAGGGTCGAGTTCGGGGCTGATCTTCTTGTTAGTGGAAGTTTAACTTCTGTTTTTTTTTTCTCTTTTTTCTCTGTGAAATATTGCCGTCAGGTGAAGACATGTAAACCAGCACTGGGCTACAGTTTCGCAGCTGGCACAATCGATGGAGCTGGGAGCTTCAACTTTACGCAGGGTGAGGTGCAGTGTGATGAAGTGTGGTCCCAGATTCTGAAGCCTCACGGCTGTGTCCCCTCAGAGAGTTGACTGTAGCCAATACATTTACTCTTTTCATTTCTAAATTCAGGGCTGTGCGGGTATTCCAGGTTTGTAATGACAGCCAGATTTCCTCGAGATGGGTGTCTTTTGTAATTCAGCTTTGCACCTGATTCAAACAGAATCGGAGCCACATTCTCTTCGCATTTTAGTTGATGGGTAAATAATTTTAGATTGTGCTTGGGCAGGGAGCATTGTGGGGTGCAGAAGGAGATTGCCTTTGAACCTTTAACAATATGAGTTGGTTCTTCCAGCCTGTCATTAGTGGCTCTTTTCCCTATTCCTTTACCGAAGCCAAAATTCCTCGGGGCAGAGGCCTTTAGGAGCCTAATGCTAGGTTTGGCTTGCGGGTGCCCTCACAGTGGTGGTGGTACTAATGTCGGATGCACGGGCACCCGTGGAACAGGGACAGACCTGAGCTCTGAGCACGTGCACCCACGGAGCAGGAGCAGCTCTGGCGGCTGGCACTGGCTTGCTGGAAGTAATGGTTATGTGCCTTCGCTGTGTCACGTGTGGAGCAGCCACGGAGCTGGGCCTGGTGCCCATGCAAAGTGCAGTGGCTCTGGGGTCCAGGACAATGGACGGCCACAGTGGTGGCGGCTCCCGTGCCTGGGATGTAGGTACATGTGGAGTAGCTGCTGCTCCGGGGTCTGCAGCACAGGCACCCCCAGTGCAGTCAGTGTTGGGATCTGAAACATGGGTGTGCATGCAACAGCCAGGGCTCTGGGGTCAGGGGCCTGTGCGGAGTTCCAGGCAGTGCAAGAGCAGCTCCTTGTGCGGGAGGTGCAGCAGCATCTCTTCCTAGGGGTCCATGGTGGTCATGGCCATTGGTTACCTCAGTCACGAAAACTGCTGTCCTCTGGGGAGCAGGATGCTGAGGTCTGTGCTGAAGAACAGCACAGGGTCCTGTGCTGTGAAAAATGCTGGTCGTCTGTCGTGGTCCTCAGCAGCAAGGCTTGCTGGGGTTCTCCACAGAGCAGGCCACTGAGCTCTATGACAGCACCTGCTGTGTGGCTGAAACTTGTAACATCTGCATCTTTGTTCCTAGCTGTCTCAAAGATATCTTAGCTATACCAGTATCTCCAGTGATTCTTTCTATGTGGTTATTCTGTTTGTTTGTTTTTTCTCTCTCTCTCTCTACTGCATTGCTGTAGGTTCTTAATTGGACTTCTGAACACCCCCCACCCCAGGCTATTTTCGTCTGTAGATAGCTGCCTAATTGTTTTTTTGTGGGGGGATAAAGGCCAGCATTTTCAACTCTTGCATCTTACTGATGTCACTCTCTTCTTTCTTAGCATGGGCATTTAAAGCCATACATTTCCCCGTGGGTACCGCTTTCATTGCATCCCATAAGGTCCTGGTATATTGTGTCTCCTTTTGCATTCATCTGAAAGTAATTTTATATTTTATTTTGATTTCTTCCTTGATCATTAGCTATTTATAATTATGTTGTTTAATTTCCACATATTTGTGAGTTTCCCAAATTTTCTTCTGTTATTTATTTATAATTTTATTACACTGTAGTTAGGAAACATACTTTGTATTATTTATCTGCTTTAAAACTTACTGAGCTTTGTTGTATGGCCAACAGATGGTCTGGATAATGTTTCATATGCGCTTGTGAAATGAGCAGTTGTTCCGTCTACTACTGATAGTGGATCATTGAAGTTCCGACTGCTATTGTTGATTATCTTTCTCCTTTCATTTCTGTTCGTTTTGCTTTATGTTCTTTGGATGCTCTTTTATTAGATCCATATATGTTTATAATTGTTATAATTTCCTAATGGATTATAGATTCTAAGTTTATAGGTTTTATAGTTAACATAACTTTTCCTCGGATTATAAATTTTAGGCTAGGTTTTTGTTTTTTACTGAGTGTGTGTGTGTGTATGTGTGTGTGTGTGTGTGTGTGTGTGTGTAGATAATTAAGTGAGGATTCAAGAAAGGCTGTTAGGAACCACACACCAAACAACTAGTATTTCATGTTGGAGGTATCATTTTTAGTTTTCAAAATGGAAAATCTACAGTTAATTATTTATTATTATTATTATTATTATTATTATTATTTGAAACGTGGAAGAGGAAGAGCAGTAGAAACAAAACTTGAAAGATGTTGAGGATGATGAGCAAAATATATTCCTTCATTTTACCAACCACACTGAATACCTAGTAGAATAGTGGCTCCTATCTTAGGATGCACAGGAAATTTGCTGCTTCTATTGTTCAGACTGTTTGGAATCATTAAATAACAGCTTTAATAAAATCTCCAAAACTGCTAAAAGCATTGTTGTACAGTATTTATCAAGATGATGACATTTTTCAGAGGGTTGGAATCATATTAATGAAAACATTCCTAACAGGTACAACAGTGGTGGATCCATTCTGGGAAACCATTCGCGACCAGATCTTTGGCAAGCCGTCTGCCGAAATCAGAGAGTGTCAAAAACCTAAGCCAGTCCTTGTTCACACTGGAGAGGTAAACGTTGTTTACATCATGATGAAGTTAGTAATTGCTCTTTTAAATTTATAAATTGCCAGATGCAAATGGTATATCACTATGGGCATTGGAGGTCTTATTCAGATATTCCTACATCAAAATGTTTAATATAAAAAATACAGATGCTGTGAGTCTAAAAAATAAGGGGTATGATTATTAAATATTTTAACTTTGAATTTATGATAAATAATGGAAACAATTAGATCACTGACAAAGGAAGAATAAGAATAACATTTACCAGATTTAAGATTCATTTGTGTTATCTCCAGGATAGGAGTTTATACAGAATTCTCTACAGAGCAAAACATCTCAGTTCATATTATAAGGAACACGTTCATGTCTCAATTTCTCACAATTCAGGCAATGTTATTAACTAAAGAAATATTCTTTTAATTCTCCTTTGGAACATGAATTTTCACATTCTAAATGTCAAAATGTGATGCCAATGTTTATAATACGAGCTTTTGATGTAGAAAAATACTTAGAGTTTTTTTTCCCCTCTAATATTCAGTTAAAATTCTTCTGGAAGAAGAAGAAGAGAGGAAAGGGGAGGAATAGAGTGAAAGATTCTACACTCATTGAGTATGGAAATGGATAGATTCTCTTGGAGAAAACTTGGAAATAAGGCTGGACTTGGTAACTGAAAATTTTAAGTGCTATTAGAGTAAAAAGACAAATTATTAAGTTATGATGGCATTACTTATTTATTTTGAATAAGGATGGCCACCACAGTACTCTAGTAGAATCCCTGGTTACCTGTTACACAGTTTGATTCCACCATGACAAATCCACCAAAAACTTCATTAACGAGAAAATAAGTCCAGGTTAACAAGGTATTGGCATTTCAGATTCACATGCATGACTAGACAGAATAGTTAATGCTACATCATGAATTAGAAGTAAAATCTATAATGGTAGGCTAAGACACCAAAAACAGCTGGAAATATTTTAAATCCTTTCACGAAGGAACTTCTGTGATCATCTCATGTCTCTTGACCACAGGAAGAATAATATTCCTAACACAGTGCTCATGTTTTGATTCTTAGCTGTCAAAACCTCATCCCTGGCACCCAGATATTGTTGATGTTCAGATTATCACTCTTGGGTCCTTGGCCATAGTTGCCATCCCTGGGGAGTTGACGTAAGTTCTTCTTTTTTATTTTGTAGTTTAAAAATGGAATTATTGTATAAGTGTTTCTGTTGGAATCACTTGTCATGGGCAGACAGTTCTGTACTGACTCTTGTGCGTCTCATTGTACTATATTTACAATAGTAACAAATATCCCACCCTCTTTTGGTGGGACCTCTGAAGAATAAATCTCTCTATGCTTGTTACTGTGTGTGACTTGAAGCAAACATAAACTTTTGAAAATATTCCAAATTAAAATGATGTTGCCCTGGCTGGTTTGGCTCAGCAGTTGGAGCATCGGCCTGCGGACCAGAGAGTCCCGGGTTCGGTTCCCGCTAGGGGCATGTACCAAAATGAATGAATGAATGAATGAATGAATGAATAAAATAAAATAAAAAATGATGTGGTGAATTATGATGTCAATAGAAAGACTTGACATAATATTAAACTATAGATTCTTACAACAATCAGTTTAGGTTTTAGAAGCATGAAAGAAGGTTTTAAATCCACTCCTTATGAAGTCTTTTCTATCGTAGTAAGAAGAAAGTTTCTATCTTTCCTGTTGCTCAATCCTAAATCTTGGAATCACCCCTGAATTCTTTCTTTTTCAATTTCTCCCATGGGCTGTCCTTCAGCAAATTCTGTATGTTCCACCCAATACTTCCTCTTACTTCCCCAACCCCCCAACTCCCCATAGTCTAAGTGGCCATGATTTCTTTCTGTCTCACTTTCTTGCTTCCTCCTTTTTTCCTCTAGAACCTTTTATCAACACCAAAGCTGGAGAATCCCTTTAAAACACAAGTTAAACCCTGTCCTATTCAAAACCCTCTCCTGACTTTCCATCTCACTTTAGGTGAATCCTCAAATCCTTACAATATTATACAGGGCTCTGTGTGATCTCAGCAACTCCTTTGGTCTGACCTCTTAGGACTTTCCCCCTCCTCTTCCTTGCTTCAGCCATGTTGGTTCATTACAGTTCCCACACTCACCAGGCACGCTCCTGTCTCAGTACTTCTGAACTTACGGTTCTTTCTGCCTGAAACACTTACCCTCCGTTAATCCCCATGGCCGACTCTTTTATTCCTTCAGTTCTGTGCTCAGATCTCCAACAGAGGTGCCAGTCCTGCTTATACTATATAACATTGTCTTCACCCACCATGGCTTCCTCCTCCTCCCCCACCACCACCACGACCGCCACATCACAGCAGCAGCAGCAGCAGCAGCAGCACAGTGACCACCACCACTCCCTTTCATCCTTTATCCTACCTTATATGCTTCATCACACTTAGTGTCATCTCCCTTAATTTGTATATTGACCATCTTTCCTCCCTAGAATGTTAGCTCCATACTGCTGAATCCTTAGCCCTTAGAAGTGGGCCTGTTGTGTAGCAGGTGCTCAGAGTTCTATATGAAGGATTAAATGAATGAATAAAATGGTAAGTTCTGTGTAGACAGGAACAGCATACTCTCTACTTGCCTTTGCTCTTATTAACATAGAATGTAACCAATATATTTTGTTGAATCAATTCATGGAAAATGATTGTGATCCTTTGCTAGTGATATTTATTGATTCTTTTCCCCTCCTTCAAGTTACCGGTTTTCATTTTAGAATTTATTTGGAAGATATGACAGTCAGGAAAAAAAAAAAGCTCAACTTTAGCTTTGCATGCTGCATACTTTGCATACATTCTAGATAGGAAAACACTTAGATAATTTTGTTTTTTTTACTCAGGACTATGTCTGGACGAAGACTTCGGGAGGCAGTTAAAGCAGTAAGTTAAAGATGAAATGACATCTATGCATTTATATTTGGTGAACAGAGAAGAATTCCCTAGTCATATGATCTAATACCTTTTAAATTAATCTTTGCTAAAATAGCTAGAGCTTCACACTTTTTGAATGGCTAGAGGTAAATATTGGTGATATAAGAACAAATTCAAAAATATACAAGGGACCTATAGTCAGGTTAAAATATTTTATTGGTATTTATGTATTCATAATTTAAAAATTAATAATGGTGTTATGGGTTAAATAGTAAATCACTCCTAAGTACCTAAAGTCTTAAAGTACTTAGAGCCTTATCTAAATCAAATCTAACACATGCTGAGAATTATATCTTTTATCTATAATTATGATTTTTCTTATATTCTAGAAGTATTGTAAATGGTTCTAAAATGACAATCAACAAATGTCTTATTCCTTGGACCTAGAAATAACTGCTGTCATTAGCTAGCAACCTTTTTAAGAAATTGATAAAATATCTTTATTCTAGTAATAAGAAGATTCCATATCTACAAATTCAATCAAGATGTTCATAGATCCATTGACTTGTCCTACTGTAGTGCAGAATTATGGCACTTTCATCAAGGACTCTTTATACGTCTGTGTTCCCAGGCAGTTTTGATCAGTAGGAAGAATATTGTTAAGAGAGACATCTTACACTAATGAATCATATCTATGACTATGTGTTATACATAACTGGGATTATAGTATACTTTAAGATGAAGAATAATTCACTGGGCTCTACCTCTTCCCCCTCCCAGGAGTTTGCAACTTATGGGATGCAGAATATGACTGTTGTTCTTTCGGGTCTGTGCAATGTATACACACATTATGTTACCACCTATGAAGAATACCAGGTAAAGTAGAAAGGTCTTCTTATTCAAGTGAAATATGCCGTGGCCAAAACTATTGTATCAAAGGCAGGTTTTCTTTCTCAATTTTCTTAATCATGTTTTTGAGAGATGGCTTTGTTTGAGGACAGATAAGAGAATGATAAGCCAGAGGTTGGATTTGGTAGTTCCAGGTTTACCATTTACAAGTTCAGGTGAGAAATCTAGTCTCAATGACTTTCACTTTTCCTGTAATAAGTTGTTTTACCGGGAGTGCTGGTAGTTAGGTCTGAGTTGTGGCATACAATATTCCTAACCCCATCCATGATGCTTCTGGTGCCCTTAGCTTCTGTAAAACCTGGGAAAACTCCCACTGACAGTTATCATTTATCAAATGCACCAGCTAAACGCCTTGCAAATGTGTCTTAACTAATCCTCAAGATAAGCCCTGGAACAGGATATTATTATAGCCATGGCAGAGATTAAGAAACAGAGTCTCAGAGAATTTAGAGGGGAGGCTGCTGGCTGGTGGTGTTTGCTTGTTTACAAATAGTACAGAAAGTAGCCCAAGTGCTTTTTAACAATAGTAAATATAAACATGAGAATAGTGTCGAGCCCCACAATTAATGTTCTCTAATGTTTCTGCAGTCCGTACCCAGAATGTAGTCTACCTCTTGGCAAATGTTCATTGATTCCAGCAGGGGAATCTTCTCTGTGCCCTCTGTTGACTTTACTAAAGGTCCCTGCCTTCTAGGGAAACCTGTTGAATAAAGGTTCTTAATTGGGGTAAACTTGGATGGGAATAATTTTTCATTTATTCATTTTTTATTTATGTGTCACTACTTATTATTTAGCATTTTCTCCAATTGTGAATATAGGTGGCAGATGACAATTATATTAGCAGTATCTCTGACTTTGTCACCAATAGGAACCACAGATATTTTCATATCATACACAGTTATTTCAGATCTGGGAATATCTTTTATTCTCATCACTATTTTAAAATCACAGTAGTTATTAAACCTGTTACTAGATCTCATTATTCAATAAAGAAGCATAAACATTACTCTATCACAAAGTTGGTTTATTATTATTATTATTTTATTGATTTTAGAGAGAGAGGAAGGGAGAGGGAGAGAGAGATAGAAATATCGATGAGAGAGAACATCAACTGGCTGCCTCCTGCGTGCCTCCTACTGGGGATTGGGCCCACACCCTGGGCATGTGCCTTGACCAGGAATTGAACCGGTGACCTCTTAGTGCATGGGTCGATGCTCAACCACTGAGCCACATCGGCTGGGCAGTTTATTATTGTTTGATTAATGTATTTAAACCTAATCAGTTTCCTTTGTGAACTCATACATTTTATTTTATGCATTTAGAAATATTAATCTGAGAGGACTCCACCAGCCTCAACAGATGGCCAAAGGAGTTCATGGCACAAATAAGGCTAGGAACTCCCTGTAAGCTTGTCTCCAGGTTCAGGGATAAGCCCCTGCCAGGATTAGTATTAGTTAATTCATTTATTCACTCATTCCTTCAACAGATATGTGTTGTGACATACAGTACTAGCTACTATCTGGGCATAACAGTGAATAAGAATCTGCCCCTGTCCTCAAGATCACTAGGATTTATGGTATAGTGAAAGAGAAGAAAACAAATGATCACATTTCTGTGAAAGGGATGAACAAGGTGGTAAAACATTTTTAAAAAGGGAGAAAGAGCACCAATCTAGACTAAGTATTTGAGCACGGAGATCGGTAGATTTTTTTTGGAAGATGTAACATCTGTCTGAGATTTTGAGAACGAGTAAGGGCTAATCAGGCCAATAAAAGTTAGGGAAGGTGTTTCACATGGAGGGAGCTACATGTGCCAAGCTCCAGAGGGGCAGACTTGGCACACTGAAGGGCCGTCATTCGCCGAGTTCCATGGCACAAACTCGGTGAGCAGTGAGTCGGCAAGAGGGCAAGGCCGGGGTTGGAGGACACGTCTTTTAGGCTCTGCTAGAGCTTTGGCTCAATAAAGAAGGATTTGGGACCTTCAGTCGAATTCAAAGAAGGGAATGCTCTGATCAGATTTGTGATTTAGAAAGGTCACGAGGATGCCCGTGCAGAAAATGAACCCCAAGGGCAAGCGTGGAGACAGAACTGATTAAGAAGCTGTAGTTACGACTGGGGTGAGAGGTGAAGGTGTGACCAAGGTAAAAGCAGTAGAGACAGAGGAAAATGAAAGAAGTCAAGAGATTTGAAGGAACGATGACTTGGGGACTCATAGGAGGTAGGATGAGGGAGAGAGAGGAACTGATGACGGCCAGCTGGTCCTGGCGTGGGAGATGGGGGGCCTGCCGGTCACTGAGGTGCAGAATGTCGCGGGGAAAGCCGGTGTCGTTTAGATTCGGTGAATTTGAGGTTCCAGTGAAACAACCAAAGTCCTCAAGCTCAGGCGAAAAGTAACATATTTGGTCTTATTTCATAGTTCGATGATGGTTAAATGTGTGTTCTTTTCCCAGATAGTACTGCTACTAACCAGTTTATCCAGGAGTCACTAACACTGTCATTTTTCTCCTTTTTTTTTTTACTTCCTGCTGTACTTCTTGGGGGAAACATTTATATTACAAGTACTTAAAATAGGCATAGGCTCAGGAGCTAGTACCCGCTTTCAGATTAAATGGACTCACAGGCCGATGGCGTACGCCGGGAGGAGCAGCTGCCTTTAACAAGTAGTTGATGGGAGCCATGTACTTTAGCTGGTAAATAAAAATGCCAACCCCTCCTTTGTCATAATTAATCCGGAACTGTGCCAGTTTGAATTGCGTGCGATGTCTAAGCACTGGCCCTCAGAACAGTGTCCAACACCCGTCTGTCCTGCAGGTTCAGCGGTATGAGGCAGCGTCTACAATTTATGGACCACACACTCTGTCTGCGTACATCCAGCTCTTCCGAGTCCTTGCTAAGGCCATTGCTACGGTAATCACAGCCTGCCCGCACGCGAGCCCCGGGCGGGGGGACCTGTCCGCACCCGGGCCCCGGGCGGGGGGACCTGTCTGCACGTGTGCCCCAGGCGGGGGGATACAGAGGGAAGCCAGAAAGAACCTTAGCTGTGAGTTCATCTTTTTTTTTTTTTTAAAGAAACCTTTATATATATAGCTATGAGATATTCCCAAGAGATGAAATAGATAGTGCATTTAGAATCAGTAAGTGCCTTTCGTGGTGGTAGCTTTTTTCATATATATTATCTCATTATTTTCATAATTATCATGTGAAGTATGGAAGTATCACTTTTTCTCCATTTTTCAGATGAGCAAATAGGTTGGTTCAGAGATGATTAGTGATCAGGCTTGTTATGACTTGAACCAGGAGCTGAATGAACCAGCATTGTCTAGTCCCGGCCAGCTTCTCTCCAGTCACTTCAAGGGTCGGGCGGGTCATCAGTTCTGAGGTGCCCATTTTCCATGCTATAACATCTCTGAAAATGGGTTGCATCTTCCAATCAGAGGAAACCTACAATTAAAATTGGTAGCATAATTTTACTTTCCTGGTGGTTCAAAAATAATCATAGTTGTTACAATCAATAGAGTCTTAGATTTGAGGAACAACAGTACCTGGGAATACACATATACATTATCTGCCTGAAATATGCACACACCTAAGCTAGTTTACCTAAAGAAACTCCACTTGTGGAAATCTTTTCTTTGGAAACAGTTATTTTTGAAGCTGTACTTTGGTGTCAGATTATTAGTCAACATGCAGGATAAAGAGTTAAACTAATACACAGACCATGTATAGACCATATGAGCCCCAGTAAGACTGGGCAACAGATACGGCATAGCCAAGACAATAAAGGCCTTTTAGAGAAAGAGCTTGGCTATATTAAATGGGAACAAGTGAAATTGCTCTTTCTGTTGTTGAATATTGACAATTTCATATGCCTCCACCTAATTAGCTCCTTCTTGTGTGTTTGAGGTTTCAATACAAGGTATTGGAATATAGCTTAGTTTCCTGGTTATTGTTTTATCACAATGTTCTTAATTTTAGCCTTGATACTTTTTGCAAAGTAGCACTATTTTATTTTTTCATCATAGAAGCTATAACTATTTGTAGAATATTCAGATTATATAGAAAAGCATAAACTTATAACCAATCCCTATAGAGAACCACTGTTTCATTTTCACTGTAATCATAAGTCTATATCTTTTCCCACCGAAAGCAATTCTTCACACGTTATAGTGATACTTAGGAAGAAAAGTGTGAATGATTTTGTGGAAATTTGTTTCACAGTCAGTTTTATGGTTGTATCTAAGACTAGCTATGTGAGCCTAAAAAACCACTGAGTGTCTTCAAGCCTATATTCTCATTTGTAAAATAGGAATGATAATAGATTATATGGCTATTGTAAAAATTAAATATATAAAGTGGTTATGAAAGTACATTAACTACATATGAAGGACTATTTAAAATTTGAGGTTAGCATTTTGATGGCATTAGTAAAGGTGGCAACTTTGTGGACAACACAGATTAAACCAGTCAGGATATAGGTTGATCTTAACTTTTAAATTAAAAATATACTTATTACATTCTTTAATCAGCACAAAGGAGGATTTAGGGGAAAAAATTGGTACTGATTCTGGATAAAAGAGGCTAAACACTTTTTAAAAGTTGAAAGAATAATTACAGTGACATGCTACGAAGGTTATCCTGTTCCAAGTCACACATTTTAAATGGTTCCTAGAATCGGAAACTGTCACATGCTTCCAAGCCTACGTCTGATCACTAGCAATACTGCCCAGGGGAGCGAAAGAAAGTGTTGTCCATGACCAAAACTTTCCTCTAGTGACAGAAGTTTAAATTATGCACATCTAGGCTCACATTTTAGCAAAGCTCCCCTCACATTTCCTTAAAGGCCTTAGCTCTTGGAGGGGGAGGACAGGAGGGAGGGAGGGAAGGAGGGAGGGAGGGGTTCCTAAATGAAGGCATCTCTGGGGATGGGGAACTTGGGAAAGGGTTTTGGACTCTACTTTGTGCGTTCCATAAGCAAATGTTCTCTGTTCTAGGATACAGTAGCCAATCTGAGCAGTGGTCCAGAGCCTCCGTTTTTCAAACAACTCATAATCCCATTAATTCCTAATATTGTGGATAGACCACCAATAGGCAAGACTTTTGGGGATGTCCTGCAGCCATTGAATCCCAAATACAGAGTGGTAAGATTTACAAAGAGATCTTTTATGCTTCCAAAGCCTGCGTTTGGGGGTGGGGGAAGGTGTTGTTAATGGCATCACCTGTCTCTAATGATGCCATAGATCATCAGCTGTTAGCAACAACAGTTTTGGTAATTGTTCTTCTCAAAGGCTCTGCAAACGTGATAACGGGGAAATGATTATTTTTCAGATTGTAATTATGTAAAATTGAATTTTTAATCCCAATTATACTTTCTCTTCTTAAATGAATGGTCATTGAATCATTCACTGGAACTCAGAAACGTTATCTTTTAAATCAAAGATAGGAAAAGCACATAGAAATGAATCAGGATTTGTACCACTGTTATTTTATATCTATTTAAAAAAATTTTTTTAATTGATTTTAGAGAGAGGGGAAGGAAGAGAGAGAGAGAGATAGAAACATCACTGAGTGAGAAAATCAATTGGCCAACCTTCTGCATGCCCCCCCCCCCCCTGATTTGGCCCACCACCTGGGCATGTGTCCTGACCAGGAATAGAACTGGCAACCTCTTGGTGCGTGGGTCGATGCTCAACCACTGAGCCACACCTGCTGGGCTGCTATTTTATATTAACTGTCCTTCAACTTATACATAATATCCTTCAACTTTGCTAAATTATGTATTAGTTCTAATATATTTTGGGAGGTATATGGAGTCCGTAGAAATTTCTATGTATAATATCATGTCATCTGAGAATGAAAACAAGTTTAATTATTTCTTTTCTGGCTGCTTTTAATTCCACCTCCCCCTCCCTTATTGCACTGGCTAGAACCTCCAAAAACAATGTTGAATAGAAGTTGTAAACCCTGGACATCCTTGTCTTGTTTCTAATCCTCAGAGGAAAGGTATTCAGTCTTTTTTTTTTTTTTTTAAATAAGTAAAGGGCATCTATCAGTCTCCTTCTATTCCTAGTTTGTTGAGAGGTTTTGTGAAGAATGGGTATTGGCTTTTTTTCAGATGCTTTTCTATGTCTACTGAGATAATCATGGAGTAGTTTTTGTCTTTCATTCTATTAATATGGTGTATTGCATTAGTTGACTTTTAGATATTAAATAAATGCTCATTATTTATGGTATATAATTGTTTTTATATGTTGTTGAATTTGCTTTGGTAATATTTTGCTAAAAGGTTTTGTACTCATCTCTATGAGGGGTATTTACAGATACTTGTCATGTGTGGTCTTTGTCTGCCTTTGGTATCAGGCTAACTCTCGTCTCAAGGACTAAGTGAAAAAAGTGTTCTTTTCTGTGTTTTCTGAGAATGTGTGAAGATTGGTATCATTTCTTCTTCAAATATTTGATGAGATTTATCAGCAATGCCATATGGACCTGGGCATCTTTTTATGACACAATTTCAAATTATTAATTCATTTCCTTTAGTTGGTATAGGTCTATTCAGGTTTTTCACTGTCTTTAGGCATCTGTATCTTTCTAAGAATTTGCATCTTTCAAGGAATTTGTTCATAATATTCTCTCATATTCCTTTTAAGTTCTGTTGAGTCAATAATGATGTCCTCTTTCTTCCTGAGTTCGGTAATTTGTGACTTCTAAGAGCTTTAGCTTTATTGATTTTATCTATTGTTTTCTGTTTCATTGATTTTTGCTCTACGGTTTTATATCCTTCCTTCTGCCAGCTTTGATTTTGTTCTTTATCTCATTTCTTAAGGTGGAAAGCTTAGGTTATTTTTATGTTTTAGTGTATCTTTTTATTCCTCTGTTTTTTGTTGTTGTTGTTGTTGTTGTTTTTAGTCTATATATTTAGCTATTTTCCCAGCAGTTGTTTTAGGGATTTGAAAAGCAAAAAGAATTGTTTCTCTACTCAACCCTCTACTCCAACCCTCTGTGTGGAGGTTTTCTCCACACTGAGTAATTATCCAGTTCTCTGTGAATACCAGCTTAGTGTCCTGCAGTGCAATTGAGCTCTGACACCATCTACTTGGTCTGTAGATGGGTTGGGCAGACCCCGTGGGTAAAGAGATCAGTCTCACAACACTGCACCCCTCCCCCCACCAAACACCAATGGCAAATCCAGGTGCTCACCGTGCTTCTGACTGACTGGCTCTCAATGGAGATTCCCACCACCCCCTCTTTGGGAGCAATAACTTGCTAGAATTATCACAGAATTGAGGAAAATGGCTTACTTACTAGATTACAAGTCTATTATAAAAAGGATGCAATTCCAGGACAGCTAGAAGGAAGAGATATATAGGGCAAGGTATGGGGGAAGGAGCACAGAGTTTTCAGCATCTTCATTCATTCACCAACCCGGAAGCTCTCTGAATCCTGTGCTTTAGCGATTTTTATGGAGGCGTGATTATGTAGACATAATTGATTCCATCATTGGCCATGAATCATTCACTCAACTTTTAGTCCCTTTCCCATCCCTGGAAATCAGGGGGCCAAAGTGAAAAGTTCTAGGCCTCTAATCCCATGGTTGGTTCCCCTGGCAACTAGCCCACATCCAGGGGTTATTCAGAAGCCCTCAGCTAGTCACCTCATTAGCATACAAACAGATTCCTCACCTCTGAGATTCCAAAGGTTTTAGGAGCTGTGTGCCAAGAAATGGGCACAGAAACCAAATATATGTAGTATCTTATTGTTTCTTAGATTTATACTATGCATCTGAACTAATCACAACCTACATCAATATAACCTAACTTAATTCCAAAAAATATAAAAAGATCGGTCCAATATACTTCTTTATTCTTTCCCACCCTTTGTAATATTATCACATATATGATATCTCTATATAAATGCAACAATACAGTGTTATAGTTATTGTTTTATAGTTTTTTTAAATGTCCTTAATATTTTTTTAAATCTTTATTGTTGCATGTAGAATGTATTACAGATGTTCCTCATTTTTCCCCCATTGACCCCCTCCTCCCCACTCCCGCCCCCCTCCCACCTTTTCCTACACTATTGTCTGTGTCCATTGGTTATGCATATAAGTTCTTTGGTTTATCTCTTCCCACCCCCCCAACCCCTTTCCCTTTGAGGTTTGTCAGTCTAGCAGTGAATTTGTACTTCTTAATCCCTTCACCTTTTTCACCCATTCCCCCAACCCCCTCCCATCTGGCAACCAACAAAATGTTCTCTGTAGCTATGAGAATGTTTCTGTTCTACCTGCTCATTTTGTTTGTAGATTCCATTGTTAATAGATATGTATTCATTGCCATTTTGTTTGTTTATATATTTTATCTTTTTCTTCAAAAAGACCCTTCATCATTTCATATAATAATGCTTTGGTGGTGATGAACTCCTTTAACTTTTTCTTGTCTGGGAAAGTCTTTATGTGTCCATCGATTCTAAATGACAGCTTTGCAGGATAGAGTAATCTTGGTTGTAGGTTCTTGCTTTTCATCACTCTGAATGTTTCTTGCCACTCCCTTCTGGCCTGCAAAGTTTCTTTTGAGAAATCAGCTGACAGCCTTATGGGAACTCCCTTGTAGGTAACTAGCTGCCTTTCTCTTGCTGCTTTTAAGATTCTCTTTGTCTTGAACCTTTTGCATTTTGATGATGATGTGTCTTGGTGTGGGCCTCTTGGGGTTCATCTTGTTTGGGACTCTCTGTGCTTCCTGGACTTGTATGTCTGTTTCCTTCACCAAGTTAGGAAAGTTTTCTGCCATTATTGTTTCAAACAGGTTTTCGATTTCTTGTTCTCACTCTTCTCCTTCGGGCACCCCCAAGATGCGAATGTTGGCACGCTTGAAGTTGTCCCAGAGGCTCGTTACACTATCCTCGTTTTTTTGGATTCTTTTTTCTTTTTGCTGTTCTGATTGGGCGTTTTTTGCTTCCTTATATTCCAAATCAATGGTTTGCTTCTTGGATTTACGTACTCTACTATTGAATCTGTGTAAATTATTCTTTATTTCAGTTAATGCCTCCTTCATTTCTGACTGTGCATCCATCATTTCTGACTGGTCCTTTTTTATGCTCTTGAGGCCCTCACTAAGTTGGCTGAAGTTTGCACTAAGTTCATTGAGTATCCTTATAAGCAGTATTTTGAACTCAGCATCTGTTAGGTTGCTTATCTCCATTTCACTTAGTTCTTTTCTTGGGGTTTTGTTCTGTTCTTTCATTTGGGACCTGTTTCTTTGTCTCCTCATTTTGGCTGCCTCCCTGTGTTTGTTTCTGTGTATTACTTAATGAGAGGTATGGGGCTCGCTGAGACCAGATGCTGCTCATTTGAAAGAATTTAGGAAAAAATTGAAGCAGGATCCAAGACAGGCCAATCCTGTGGTTAAGCAACTGGCAACAGCTTCAGTGGGCCTGAAAGTTGGGTGGGGCAGGGCCTGAGGGAATCACCAGGGCGGGGCTACCAGTGTGAGCCAAGTTGCTGGAGTCCCAGATGTGGTGGCTGTCTGCCGCCCCAGGGAAGCACTCACCAAAGGAACAAAGGCCTCTGACAGCACATTTGTCCCGGAGAAAGCCCCCTCTTCAGCCCTCGCTCTAGTGCCAAACAGCTCAGTTCTTCCCTGTATGACTCTGGTGCCCCTCGACCTGCCTCCCCTCCAAGCTTAGAGGGAGAGAGTCCGACAAGTCCGTGCGCGGGGCCTTTAAGGAGCTGCCTGGGGCTCCAGCCACCTCAGCCTCCCTGAGCCTCAGTTCCCGCTGGTTTTTCCAGCCAGAAGTCATGGGGATTCTCTTCCTGGCACTGGAACCCTGAGCGGGGCACCTGGTGTGGGACGGGGACCCCTCAGTCCTCAGGAAGGACCTTCCCAGCCGAGGTGTCCTCCTGATTTTTATCTGCCACACGTGGGTGTGGGACCAGCCTGTCCGCCTCCGCCCCTCGCACCTCTGCCCCTCGCGCCTCCGCCCCTCCTACCAGTCTGGATGTGGCTGCTGCTTTAATTCCGTAGTTGTAGGACTTCCATTCAGCTTGATTTCAGGTGGTTTTGAATGATGGTTGTTCTGTAGTTTAGTTGTAACTTTGATGTGGTTGTGGGAGGACGTGATACTGAGTTTACCTACCCCGCCATCTTGACTAGAAGTCTTAAAGCTTTTTAAAGAAGGTCAAAGAAAATATGGAAATATATCTTTATATTCTATTATTTACCCACATATCTACCAGTTCTGGTGCTCTTCACTTCTTCTAACAATTTGAATTAATATGCAGCATCATTTCCTTTCAGGACTTCCTGTAGTATTTTTTTAATATGACAGTTTGTTAACAAGAAATTCTTTCAGCCTTTGTTTATCTGGAATGGATTTATTTATTTTATCTTTGAAAAACTGTTATGTTGCATTCTTGGTTGAGGATTTTTTTTTCTTTTATCACTTTGAATACTTTGTCCTACTGTTTTCTGTCCTTCACTCTCTAATGAGAAGCCAATCATTAATCTTGTAGTATTCCTCCCTGTGAGTTATAAATCATTTTTCTTTTGTTGTTTTCAAGATTTTCTTTTTTGTCTATGTCTGCCACAAGTGTGCTACAATGTATCTAAATGTTAAATACTTTGTGATTATCCTACTTGGAATTTGTTGAGTTCCTTGGATCTGTAAAGTAACATCGGTCAAATTTGGGAAGTTTTCAGCCATTATTTCTTCAAAAGTTTTGCCCTTTTCTTTCTTTTCTGTAATTCCAGGGCTTCTGTTTTGTGAATATTGGTTTTGTTAATGTTGTACCACATGTTTCTGAGGCTCTATTAATTTTTCTTTAATCTTATTTTTTCTCTATTCTTCAGATGGGAAAATTTGTTTTGATACATTCTAGTTCACTATCCTTTCTTCTGTCATCTCACATTTGTTTTAAGCCTCTGTAGTGATTTTTTATTTATTGTTGTGATTTTCAACTACAGAATTTCCAATTAGTTTTTATAATTTTAATTCTTCTCTTCATTGAGGTTCTCTATTTGTTAAGTCATTATCACCATACTTCCTTTTAATTCTTTAAACATGATTTATATTCATTTTTAAAACATTTTATAATGGATACTTTGAGGTCTTTGTCAGCTAAATCCAACATCTGGGTCACAAAGAGGCAGTTTTAATTTCTGCTTTTTTTTTCTTCTTAGTATGGGTGATACTTTCTTGTACATATATCTCAATATTTTGTTGAATACTAGATGTTGTCTGATATATTGTAGCAACTCTAGCTTCACCTCCCTATTATAGAATTGTTTTGTTTGCTTGCTTGCTCATTTAAAATTTGACCATATTAGTAAAGTCTGTCTCTCTTGCAATGTGTGGCTGCTGATATCTTTGCTTGGATTTTTAAATTTTATTCTTTGTTGTACTTTTAAGTCTGGCTATCATGGTGTTGACCCTATAATTACATCATTTAATGTTCAGGCAGATGTTGGTCAGAATTTGTATTTAGATACCTCATGGAGTAAGAATTTCAGTCTGTTCTGATAAATCTGTGTGGCTGGTGTGTGTATTTAAACTTTGCACCATTTTCCAGTTTTCCCAGCTTTTCATTTACACTGGCTCTCTTATGTTTCCTCTGTACCTATACAGACCCCATTGGCCAGGAATGTGTGGGTGGTTTTGTACCCACTCTGGTTTCTGCTCTGAAAACTCATAGCCTCTGATCAATCCAGGATAGGAGGAGAACTTGTTAAGAACACTGTGGTTATCTCACTCCCCCAAATCACTGTTAAACCCCCGACTACTCCGCCAGTCCAGCCATTGACCCTCAGTATGTGCCTTCCACTGAGATCACCGCTTTGCATGGCTGTGTTCCAGAGCATGTGAGTTCCTTCCGGCAGCTGCAGGAAAGCTGTTGATTTAATGGCCTTCCCCACTCTGGTTGAATTACAGTGCCACGGGGATGGGAACAGCTCTTTTAAGAACACCAAAGACCTGTGCTCTTATTTCTTTAAGTTTAGTGTTTTAATGAAGAAACATTTTTTTTCAGTTTTTTGTTGATATCAAAAGTACGAAAATGGTTATTTTTGTAAGTTTATCTATCTATCTACCTACCTACCCACCCACCCACCCACCCTCTTACCTATCTACCTCTCTATAGTTGCTTTTGGGGAGAGGACATATTGACCTCCACTCTGTCATGTCCGAAGTAGCTGTTCTACACTCCTTCCTTTGATTTGGTTTGCGGGGTCTGTAGTGGGGCTGTTTCCTGTTGTTAAGATGAGTGAGTAAACAGAATTGTGAACGTAGAAAAAATCAAGGGAAAAGAGGATTATGACAACATGGCTAATCAGATACCAGAATTAAGGTTTATTTTTTAAACATTGTAAACCATAATATTGGCTGCAGGGCTGATAGCTCTATATAAGTGATATATTGATTTTTTTCCAAGAGATTCTAATTTATTATTATTGGCACATTTTGCTAAAGATTGGCTAATTTTGTAATCTCACTGGTGAAAATAAATAAAAAGAAATAAAATAAATTGGAAACTAATTCAGGGAGTTAATAGTAAAGTAAATAACTGAGTAGCACATCTCTGTTCTGATGGTCAATATTGATTCTGAATCCATGGAAAGATTTTATTTAAAAAGTGTTTTTAATGTGAGCTAGGTCTTGGAGGATGAGGACTTCATCGTGCCCATAGACATATACTGCCTCTGGGTGTATAGATAGTAGAGGTCTTAAGGTGGAAGAGTGGGTGGAAACTTACCTGTAAAAGTCTTGTGTACCATGGTAAGTGATGGGAGCACATTTATTTGTTTATTATATTAAAAGTACCTTTACTGATGTATAAGGTAAGATAAATACACACCCTATCACTCTATCTTATATCTTATATATGTAAGTGCAATTAAAAGTCATCCATGGAATGCTTTAAAAAAATTTTTATTTCAATCCTCAACTTGAGGATATTTTTCCCCTCATTGATTTTTAGATAGAATGAAAGGGAGGGAAGGAGGAAGGAGGGGGGGAGGGAGGGGGAGAGAGAGAGAGAGAGAGAGAGAGAGAGAGAGAGAGAGAGAAACATCGATGCGAGAGAGACACATTCATTGGTTGCCTCTCACATGATCCCAACCAGCGCCGAGAATGGAACATGCAACCCAGGTACATGCCCTTGACCAGGAATCGAACCTGAGATTTGGTGTGCGGGCCGATGTTCTAACTGCTGTGCCAAACCAGCCAGGGCTATCCAAGGAAAGTTTTGATTGCTCTTATATAATTTAGTCTATCTCCTATATATGTGTGGGAAGGAAGTATAAGAAAATATCAAAGGCTGAAGAAGACATTTTAAAGCATTGTCACTAATATGAACTCTGTGGCCCAGTACCTTCATCGGTATCTGAGTCTACCAAAAGAAAATTCATTGGCTAAAAATTCTGGAGTAATTTGCTGGCCAAAAATACCTCTGCCCATTGTTGCAAGGGTATTGTATCTAATATTCTCAGAAGATAGCTCACTTGATTAAATAGAACAAAATATATACAGGTACTCAGAGTTCTAGTCCATTTTATAAATAATGGTCCAAATATGAGCACAGCAAATAGTGATTTTATTGGAACTCATAAAACAAAATTTTATTTTTAGGGAGAAGTTGCAGAAATTACATTTGTAGGGGCTAACCCAAAGAATTCAGCAGAAAACCGGGTAAGCACGAACGGTTCTTTTTACAAATTTAAATGCACCTTTCAGCTTTCCATTCACTTGAATATCCCTTTAGAGGTTAACAACGGGAAGCTAAAAGGTTCCAACTTGCTTTTCAGCTGGTTTTGCAGGTGTGTGGAAATTTTCAGTGGGAAAATTGCTGGCAAGAAGCGTACAGGAAACATTTCACTGGCTCTTCTTGGGACCATATATAGCACAGTGCAGAGAGAACTGCACTGTCTCTTGAGAAGACATAAATTTGAATAAATTCTGGTTATGTATTCCAATTTAAAAATTCAATTAAATTTGGTAGAAGAGCCAAAGGGCCAAGAGTGAAGTGTTCTTGGGCTCCTTCCTCCTGTCCTGCTGCCTCTGGTCGACCTCTGCTGCTGTGGAATGATGGTGGACACCCGAGTGGGGACACCCTCCTGGCTTGGAGCCCTGACCCATGTGCTATGATGGTGGACACCCGAGTGGGGACACTCTCCTGGCTTGGAGCCCTGACCCATGTGCTTTGGAACCCTGCCCCATGTGCTTTACTTTGCATTATTTGTTTCCCTACTCTTTGCTACTGGCTATAATAAGATAGTTATTTATTAATCTTGAAAAATGACACATGTCTAATGTAAAATCAGGCAATATAAAAGTGTTAAGACAGATGTGAAAGGACCCCGCTAGTCATAAACCTTTTTAGAGGTAATTACTGTTAATAGTTGGTTACATATTCTTTCATCCCTTTTTGTTTTCACATGTATGTGTGTGTGTGTGTGTGTGTGTGTATATATATATATGACTATGAAAGTGATTTCAGGATCAAATTTTTTACTGTGGCTGAGGCTGCATTCACTCTATCGATTGTCACTTATAAACCCAAGTGCCCTTTTTCCAAATGAGCCTTCTCACCTCTGTTCATTAAAATATTATTGCTGTGATATCAATTGTGGCAATATGATGTTGTCAAAGGGGCCTTGGGGAAAAATGTTCCACTGCTTGGGTAATTAACATGTACCTGTTTGAAAGAATTTCTCTAGGCATTCAAGCTATGCCAGAATATTTACATGTTCATAACATTGTCTTTCCGAGGACAGCCAAGTGTTGTCGTAAAACTGTAGGAGTAGCTGTCATTTGACATCCAGGGTGGAGAAACATTATCATCATTATTGCCATTGGGAAGCAGAAGAACAAAGTACTTGAAGCACCACAGTGAGAGCAACATTTCTAAGAAGGCACACTGGGACTCGGCATAAAACAATTTCCAGTTCCCTCCATTAGGAAGCATCATCGTGTCCTCATCACTACTTATCTAATGCTTACTTTTTGCATGTACTAGGCTAAGTGTTCTACATCCATCATCACATGACTCTAACTTAATCCTTACTACTAGCCAATGAGTTACATTTTATTATCCCTATTTTACCAAGGCCCCGAGAGATTCAGTAACTTTTATTAAGTATTTACTAATTGTGTGTCTGGAAGAGATTAAGGTTAGGAGATAGGGAAAGGGTAGTCATGTAATTCACATGTGCAGTGGCCTAGACTTGTTCTCTGCTCTGTGCTCTCGACTTAGGAACTTGGACTCACTCTATTTTCTACCCCTTCTAATCTTCTCCCCCGCCCCCCCTCAGAAGTAGCTCTCTTTACAAGTCACCATGGTCATGGAAACTTCTTTACTGACTATAGTCCATCAGCTGAGTAACTAGAAAAGAATTTGAAAGAATCCCTTGGCCAAGCTGTAAGTCAGGGATCTGTTCCGCAAAAGTTTAATTGAATACCTGCCGTAATGGGCTGTGATGGATGAAGGTGAATTACATACAAGTCATGCCCCTTGAGGGCCACAGTCTAAAGATTTGTGTGGCAAAATGAAGATTTATGGCCTTTATATCTTTTAATTTATGATATTATTCAAATGTATGCTTTATTTGAAGCTGAATCCTTGGTCTGAAACAAATTATTACAGCAATTTTCCAAAGGGAAAATAAAATTTACTTATGATGAGGTTTCTAGAAATCTGTGACAAAATATAGGAATTTCTTTTAGCACCCCAGGACAAAGAGGATTTATGCATTCTTTCCGGTTCTTTCACTTGGGGAGGTATATTTCTTAATAACTCATATACCTGGAGATGGAACAATGAAGAGACTTTTCCATTTTCCCTCCTAAATCTTGGGGTGACCAGAGAAACTGTTGGACTATGAATCAATAACCCCGTCATGATTTATGAATCTCAAGTTTTATTCTGTTTCTTGTCTGCCCTAATTTCCAAAATTCGCTATTAGCTCTGAAATTAGGCTTTATTCAATTTTCTAAAAAAGTCATGGTTTTTAATAGACTGAGTAAATTAACATTCTGAAGATACGGCATAGCATGTTAAGAGGAACACCCGAGAATGTGGGGGAAATTCTAATACGTTTTACTCAAGGTATGGGTTGGTTAGCACAGTCACCAAGGGGAGTATTCACGGGCAGGTTCCTTCTGTGACAGTTCAGTGTCTAATCAGTTGTATGAATTGCATTTCAGACCCATCAGACTTTCCTCACTGTGGAGAAATACGAGGACGCTTCAGGGACATGGCAGGTCGTGCATAATGATGCCTCCTGGGAGACTCGGTGAGCCTGTCCATTGATTAGTTTGTCTTTCAAGTCTTGAAAACAGTCGGTTAGCAATACAGAGAAGACAGATGGGGGGCCTGGCGCAGTACATGATATTAATGATTTCAAATGCCCAAGAGCTGTCTGGCCATATTTAGTTGATTTATTAGACTTCATTTTGATTCTGTTTTTCTACAAAACTGTGGTGTGTGCTTCTGTAAGATTAGGTGCTAATGAGGTTATGGCCTCCATTCTTATAAACATCTGTTAATTTTTTCCCATGGTCAGAGACGTTACTCCTAAAAGCTGTCTAGGCTTCTTGCAAATTGGTTGAAAGGCGTGCTGGGTGAAGGTGACGAGACAGCTCCGCAGAGCCTTATCTTCCTTCTGGAAAAATAATGAGTCTATACCCAGCATGTGTTGTGTGTTTTTACATGGTCAATGATCCTTTATTTGAATTACTAAAACACAAGCGCCTGAGTGTTTAAGTCTTACTGACTAAAGTAAGAAAGACATATGCTCATGGGCTTCACAGAGACATATTGCTGTGCCTTTTGTTACCAAATACCTGAGCCAAATAGATATTTTGAAGATTCAAAAAATGTGTCTGAAAGAAGAAAATGTTTCAGTTCTCAATTTTACAAATTTCACCACAGGACAGTGGCATGGAAGTGGGCAACATTTTTGGCAATTTGTTTCTAATTCAGACCACCTTAAACTACGTGATTATTTGTATGTTGGTTTGGTTAACTGAAAATAGAGATCTGATAGTCATACACCCATATGGGCATACATTTTTCCTCTGATCTTTAGGACTCCAGCTTATAGGTGGCTTTATTTTTTTTACTTTTTTATTTTTTTATCCTCACCTGAGGACACCTTTCCATATTTTGTTCAGATAGAATGGGAGAGAGAGAGAGAGAGAGAAACATTGACATGAAAGGGATACATCGAGTGGTTGCCACCCACACAACCTAACCAGGGCTGGGGACAAACCACAACCGAGGTACATGCCCTTAGCAGGAACCGAACCCGGGTCTCTCTGGACCACAGGCCGACGCTCTAACCACTGAGGCAAACCGGCCAGGGCTTATAGGTGGCTTTAAAACAAGTAATGAATACGTATTTATTGTTAACATAAGGTTATCCAGGTAGTAAAAAAGGATGACTTATTTTCAAAAGCCCCAAATCAGAACAGCAGTCAACACTGAGATTATGTATGGCTCTCAGCTTTGTTCATTAGCGTGCATACCGTCCACCATTCATGGAGAGCACCTGGCTGATTACGGAGAAACAGAGCGTCAGTCACACCCTGTGTTTCCAGGGGATTTACTGTCTAAGGATATCAGTCAGTTAGCCATTGTACCTCACTGTATCTAGAAGAGCATCTGAACCCCATGGCGTGGTCTGTAAGGACCGATGTGATCTGGACTCCGTCTGTAGGAATCATCTCAACCACTCTTCCACAGTCTCCTCTGCCCTCGTTCCGCTGGCCTGCATTCTGTTCCTCAGCTGCACCAAGGTTGTCCCTGCTTCAGATGCTTTGCACTCTGTCCCCTCTTCCTCTGAACATGTGTGGCTTCAGTCTCAGTGATACCTCCTGAAAGATCCTTCATTTCACAGATCACTTTAAAAATTATTTGTGATTTACTTGCTTAGTGCCTTTCTTCTGTCATTGAGAAACTCTGAAACTATGGACCATATCTCTCTTGCTCACTGCTGTGTCCTCAGAAGAGAGTCTGGCACATGTGCTCATTACATACATATTTTTAACAAATGAATCTAGATGTGAAAAGAAGTGTCTGTTGAAACAGCGGATGACAAGGGCTAAAAGGATGCTATAGCAGTTCCAAAGCAGGAGGCATTTGTGTTCTAAATATCAGATAAGGCTTCCTGGGATGGACAGAGGTTAGGTAGTTAGAAAGGTGGAACAACAAAGGTATTTCTGCATATGGCTGTTCCTTAAAGGTCCTCTTCTAGAAAGTATTTGTCTCAGTTTTGTTCATTGCTATATTCTGAATATCTAGGCTAGTGCTTGCTTATGGTAGGTACTCCCTGAATGTTCATTTAATGAGTAATCATATATTTTTCTAACCACACATTTAAGAGTAAAATTGTTTTTGTTTTGTTTTGTTTCCTACCGACAGTTTCTATTGGCACAAGGGGTTACTGGGTCACAGCAATGCAACGATCCAATGGCACATTCCAGATACTGCCCACCCTGGAATCTACAGAATAAGATACTTTGGACATAATCGGAAGCAGGACTTTCTCAAGCCCGCTGTCATACTTGCATTTGAAAGTACTTCCTCCGTGTTTGAAGTTGTAACTACTTAGTGAAACATTGACACAGCATTCAAAGAATAGTTTGGCTCTGTATAAATTATGCAGCTGATTTCATATGAATGTAACTATTCTGATGACTTCTACAGTTGTCCCAGTTTGGAGTTTACTGCTAATGGAACAGGGGTGTGTGTGTGTGTGTGTGTGTGTGTGTGTGTGTGACATGTGTTCCATTTATCTTGCTCTAACAGTTTTGTACCTCATGGTCTACAGCATGATTTCCTTTGGGAACCTGTGTCTGTTTAAAGCAACAACCCCCACCCCCCATTATAAAACCTCTGAAATATGAGTAAGAGTGGTTGAAGATGTGTGAACAAACTTTAAACTATTTTTTTTAATAGAATTATTCAATGTTAGCACTGGAAAAGTGTAAAGAGATCACCTAGTTGGAGCCTTCATTTTACAGATGGGAAAAATATAATTTTATAGATTTAAGATTAGCATAAGGCTACCAGATCTTTCCCCCCAGTTACATTTAACAAGTGATGTCTAAACACTGACCATAAACATACCCACCCAATTAGAGGAAGTAGCTTGAAAACTAGCATGCCGGTTTTCTGTATTGAGCACAGCCTTTCAAAGCAGCCACTCTGGTGTTGTTATGCCCAATCCAGATCTGTTGTCGTTGCTCAAATCATTTCTGGACTTGCCTCCAGAGCCCACTTACAGGAAGTGAGATTAGGAATATTCTGATCATGGCTTGCGTTTCCCGAAGTGCCCTTATTCTACTAAATTGTGTCTCTTATTCCCAAGACTTGTTCTCAGTGATTTTTGACTCTTTCACTAGTCAAATTCACCCCAAAACCATAAAACTTTGCCATTAATGTAGATATGAAAATGAAAGTGAGATCGACTTGGAAGAGAGCCCTCAAAGGGAAGGCTCTAAACTCCTTATTTGTTCTTTTATCGCTTGCTAACACACTCACTCAGTCATGGACCCGTTCAATTGTAAAATATTTATTAAAACTGACTCTCATACCCAGCATGGTACAATGACAGTGAGCTCAGTTAGTGAGATCGTATTGGGATGAATGTATTAAGTATCAAAAGGTGACTACTTTAAAAGAGAAAATAATTGATTTAATATATAAATTCTGGAGAGACATTTAAAAATCAGTAATCTTGTATATCATCTGTGTTGGGTACTCTGATTTTGGGGAAAAGAGGCTCCAGACAATGCGGAATAAGCTGTTTTAAAGTGATTTGGAGGCATTACGAAATACCCAGCCTAATGTCCAAAAGAATGAGATATGACAATCTGACATTGATTGCCTAGTACTAATTGCATTTAAAGTTATCCAAGTGAACCCGGAGCTCCCAGGCTGTAAAATAAACTTCCAGAAACCAAGTCGTGCTTTTGTAGGTGTGTAAAAGATGCAGCATTTTAGAGAAAAAAAAAATCAACCTTTATTTTTGAAACAAACTTTAGCGTTTGAAAATAATAGTAATATTAATATCCATGTATGTAAGACTCGAACGTGAACGACAGTGAACCTTGAACAGTTTTCGATGACTCAGTTCTTTGGAGGCTGTGTCTATGGAAATTAACTGCTGGAGATTTGGCTTATCAGGCATTTCAAAGGTGTGGTGCCGGTATTTCCTAATGACCTCACAGTATTTAGTGAAAAAGTTCAGAGTCCTAACAGAGCAGGTAATTCTGACACTAGTTGACCCCAGACAGATAAATTATATTAGAACTCATGGTAGAATTTTAAAAGGTATTTTTTTTAATTGTTTTCTGCCACCTCCACGCCTCACGGAAGCTGTCCTCAGTCGGCCTGTGAGTCCCTCCTGTCTCCTGGCAGCTGTGCCCCGCCAGCCACCGCGTTGCCTGCCGCGGATCCTCCTGCCCCGGCCCCCTGTGCGCCACGGCTCCTGGCCCCAAGCCATGCGCAGACACCCGTTTTCTCACTAGCTGCCGTTCTTCCTACCCATGCAGGTCCACTGCTTCAGTTTGCATGTACGTGGAAGACAGACCCTGCATTACCGAGATCTCAGTGATTCACTGGAGCATAAAAGAACACCATAAAAAGGCTGATGTGATCTGTTCATGTCAAAACACAGGTTCAATCTGCGTCTGACCACTGCTCATTAGAGCCAAACCATGTGGAAAAAACTCAGGAAATTAGTGGAGACTGGACAAAAAGGGGGCTGGGTTGGTGGGAGAATTCTTTTGAAGAAGGTTTTGTTTCTTGTGTCCAAGGGTCTGTGTTTTATTTGTTGTGCTCTGTCTAGTTCTAAGGATGCTGTGACTTCTTCAAAAAGTACTGAACAATCCCTTTATATTTTTCAATGAGTATTACAGAAATGGTCAGCATCCAATAGAATGTTTAATAAAATAATAATTACACTTGGGAATGTATTTTTCTAATGAGAGGTAATGCAGACACAAGAACACTTCTTTTTCTTTTCTTTTTAAGAGGTGGAACGAGCCCTGGCCGGTTTGGCTCAGCGGTTAGAGCGTCGACCTGCGGTCCTGAGAGACCCGGGTTCGGTTCCCGCTAAAGGCCCGTATCTCGGTTGCAGTTTGTCCCCGGCCCTGGTTGGTTGTGTGGGTGGCAGCCACTCGATGTGTCCCTTTCACATCGATGTTTCTCTCTCTCTCTGTTCCTCTCTCTCCCTCCCACTCTACCTGAACAAAAAATGGAAAAATGTCCTCGGGTAAGGATAAAAAAAAAAAAAAAGAGGTGGAACGAGTGGTCATGGACTCCATGTAAATCAGGTTGGAAAGTGATATAAACGGCCTTTGTAAGTAACCACCCAAGCATACGAGGACCGTTTCATCAGTTCCTCCTGCCTTCCAAAGATCTGCTGGCAAAACACACATGGTGGACATTTTTTACCCCCGGGGCAACTGAGAGTTTCCTAGGCAGGTAGTTAATTGTGAAGTTGTTTTACGAGCTCATTCTGAACAAATAGGCCGAGAAGGAATGTACTTGTGAATATCTTTTCCCCATTTACCCTCTTAATTCTCCTCCAATATAAGCAAGTGCCCACCCTCTTCTAATGTACACCTACGGATTCACCTTCAGCTCAGTGATTTCAGCATTAGATCATCCCTTCATGTCTCTAGTTCTTCCAAATACAGTGATACCTCGGTTCTCGAACATAATTCGTTCCAGGAGGACGGTCGAGAACCAAATTGTTCGAGAACCGAAGCAATGAAACCCAATAGGATATAATGGAAACAGGATTAATTCGTTCCAAGCCCCAGAAAATGCCTATTTACTGGCCTAATTTGTATATAATATGTAGAAAAACATAAGTCTCAACAAGAAATAAAAGTGTACAGTATGTCTAAGGGTTAAATTCAGTGTAAAGCGTGACTCTCTCCACAAAGCGTGACTCTCTCTCTGCACTCACACTGATGACGCAAGCAAGGCGCGCTGGGCCGAATGAACGCCATTCGGCTCAACTCGGCTCATCTCGGAAGTTCGAGTTCCAAATATTTGTTCGGATTCCAAGACAAAAGTTTCTCGAATCTCCTGGCCGAATACCGATTTGGTCGAAATCCGAGGCGTTCGAGAACCGAGGTATCACTGTAACAGTTTTGGTTCCTGGGTGTCCCAATCTGACCTGCTGGTTTATACTGGCTTTTGAAATTTCACGTAGTATAGAAAACCAAAGAGGGAAATTTGCATATTTTCCACAGGATTAGTTAGAATGTGTTCAGCTATAAATCACAAAATATTTGTGATCAACAGGTGTCCAAACACTAAAATCATTTACAACCTCCCATAGCAATAAATCTTGAGGTGACAACTTCAGGTTTGGTGTAGACACTCAATGGTGTCAGCAGCTAACTTTAAAACAAAAAAATTTTGTTTTCTTTTTTGATTTTAGAGAGAGAGAGATGAGGAAGGGAGAGAGATTTAGAAACATGGATGAGAGAGAACATCGATTGGCCGCCTCCTGCATGGCCACAAACCTGGGTATGTGCCCTGACCTGGAATCGAACCAGCGACCTCTTGGTGCATGGGTTGATGCTCAGTCACTGAGCCACACTGGCCCGGCTGTCAGCAGCTAACTTTAATTCTTAGTCTTGTCCCTCAGTTGAAAGAAGGCCACCGTGTCTTCAGACAATTGCTGCAGCACAAAGGAAGGGGAGAGTTCTCCTCAGAACCTTCTTCTTTTTTGGAAGGTGGAAAATATTTAGTAGAAACACAAGTAGAATTTCCCTTACATTTTCTTGTCCAGAATTGTGTCATAATAGCTTTAAGGAAGTGTGAGAAGGAGAATAGTTGGCATTTTCGGCCTCTAGGGATGGAGGCAAGTTCTGACAGCAGGAGAGAAGAGGGTGGAAGCCGCTGTTCTTGAAGTGTGTCCGCTCAACTGGGTTTATTGTGCTGCAACTTGAGAGATTTATTTCTTGATCCCACCACATGTCCATCAAGGTCAGCTGTTCTACATCTTGTAACGCAGGCACTCAGCGCGACAGAGGCTCCATTCAAACAGGTTTCTGGGGTTAGACCAGGGATACATGCTTCCACGACTGGGGACATGAACACTGGGACTCCTGCACCAGCTCTTAAAGCTTCCACTTGGGTGTGATCCACACCACTTCTCATATTTTATTGGGTAAAGGATAGAGCCGTCTATCCGTGACCAGCCTTAATGGTGACCGCAAGGGGCAAGCCATCACACCGTTATCAAATTCAATGGCTCTTTGAAATACTTGGAACTAGTTTTATTGTAGGAAATCTAGTTTAGAAAAGTACACATTTTTGAAACCCTGGTGATGATAGTACTTGCTTCATGTATCACAAAATGTATGCATTCGTTCAGGAAATTTACCTTGAGCACCTGAGTGGCAGGCATTATGCTAAGCCCCAAGGACAGAATGATAATAAAGGCATGGTGAATTGCCTTTGCTGAATTGCCATCAAGGAAGTTAGAGGTTAATAGAAGAAGCAGACAGATAAATAGGCAATTCTGTATGGAGTGACCCATGCTGCCACAGTAATGGAGGGTGTTAGAGATGGCAACATGGTCTTGGGAGATTGTAAATAACTTTCTTGGAAGAAATAACATCTAAACTAGGACTTCAAGAATATGATAGTTAGGAGAAAGATAATGGGGTGCGTGTGTGTGTGTGTGTGTGTGTGTGTACA